TGATGATCTGATTTTTATAAAAGTGAAGATATAGGTACCTAATTAATTTATTAATTTTATATTTAACGAGTTTAAAGTATCTGTTCCCAATCAAATTAGCTAATATTATAAGTATCTATGTTTCAATTTCGCCTTGAAATTAGAACAAGCAAACAAGCTGTTTGTGCTAATAAAATGTCAAATACTAACCAGCAAAGAATAATATAATACAGATGTGACCTAGTTTTCACACTAGTGATCTCATTCTTCTTTGTTGTGACTGTTAACAGTAGTACGTATCATTTATTGCAACTTGCAATTATTTTAATTGGAAATTAAAAATGTAGTTGCGAATTGAAAGTAACGGGCTTTTAAACGTTTTTTCTGCAAATGCATAATCAGGTCTTCATTATCATTATTGATAAAGGTTCATATTGGTTACATTGTTATCCTACAAGGTGACGTATAGATTTGCTATTTAATACATTCATTCTTATATTTATTGTAAAATGATGGGAGTATCAATTTCTCAGAATGAATTTATTCTGTAATTGTAAAAAATCAAACTACTTAAGGGTAAAAGGTTTTTTTAATTTATGTGAAAGCAAACCGACGTTTATCCTCAGGGTTAGGTTTCTAAGTTATCGACCGTGTGAATCCAAGGTTGTAGCCTGTAACTTCGAGACCTAACCCTGAGGATACTTATACTTGAGTGCAAAACGTCTGTTTGCTTTCACATAAATTAAAAAAACCTTTTACCCTTAAGTAGTTTGATTTTTACAATTATACATTTGTTTTGGGGAAGAAATGACAAGTAAAGTTTATTAAATAACATAATAATTATTTGCATTAATTTAATTAATCTAGGTGTTGTTTTCTTTTTACAATCTTTAAATAAAATTATGAATAAATATTTATAAACCGTATGAATTTAACATAGGTTTCTAGGACATCATTGATTATAGGTAGGCATTATTGGAAATTTGAATTTTAAGAAAGATAGGAAGATAAGTAACATATCAAGCATTTTTTTAATTTATCGAATAATTTTACTAATAATATAAAGTGCATTTAGAAAACATTATGAAAACAGAGTAAACGATAACATTATTATTATTGTATTCATATGCAAACAGAAAGATATTAACAATATGCTTATCTTAAGTGATATGATAACAGTGTCGTATTTATGATACTAGGTAACAGCTACATATGTTTTTTATATTCATAAAGTGAACTGCACCAAGCTGTTTATATGTAGATAAAATTTCCGACTAACAATAAAATTAATCTCATTGTTTTTGAACATATTTTGCATAATAGCTTTTTATAACCATGTCAGCAATGTTGACGTTTTCTGACCATTGGGTTACTAGTACATTTAATAAAGCGTTTAGCTTTATCTAATGGAACTAAAATTACTTAATAGCATCATCTTTAAATTAATTATCACACTGATTCTACTCTCAACACATCGAAATATCGATTTTTATGGTCACATTATGCGGGGTTTCCGTTATGCAATGTTTACACTGTCGAGTGTGCTCTATACATATACTGCTATTAATATTATGCGTATCATTTATTTAATAAAAAGTGTTTATTTTTATAAGGTCGGGTACAATTTTTTGCATTAGTTGACTGACGAAAGGGGGTAGTAATTACATATAGTAAAGTAATCTTTTCGTATGGTAAACCGATATCGCTGTAAGAGGTCTGTCGTCTGTTAACATTGTATCTTATAATAAAGATACCTATTTATAGACCCGTATGGTTTATAATGTGGTGCAGTTCGTATAGCGGTAGCAAACAGCTGTTTTACTATTTAACAGATGTGCGTCTCCGAATTCTATATTCACACATGAAAGGGTGCCGATTTCAACCTGGGGGTGTGCAGGCACAAGCACCGGGATTTTATGAGGGTGGTGTGTTACAGTTATAACGGTCGTTCTGAAATGTACGTGGGTACAGGCAATTTAGAATGACATGACCAGAAGTGTTGGCCTTGTTTTGTGAAATGACAAAACTCTGGAGCTCCATCCCTGGTTGTATCGCGAGGCACATCAATAAAATAATAGTCTAATCAATATTTTTCAAATGCACACAAGCCAAGCTTCTCGCAAATCGGAAGGTTCATGCCATACTAATTTGCCTATATCTCGACACACGGCCGTGGATGGATTATTAATGTAGTCTAGCCTCTAGCCAAACTTTCGTTTACGGCAAAATGATTTTATACAAGTCAAAAGTTAAAAATATTTTAAAATTGCATACTTTGGTAACTGGTTTAAAATTCATGTACATATTCTTGTGTGTGACCTCCTCAAAAACTACTTTTACTTAGCCAGGACAACTGTCTTTGGCAAAACATCTAATTTATAATTTACAATAATAAATTACATAGATAAACTGACATGAGTAAAATATCTAAAGTGGTTATGTATTGGACAAATAAATGATAATTATTATCAAGACCTTAAAGTGCAATAAATTATAAAATGCATTATCGACAGGTTTTTAATCTCTAGCACCTGTGTACGTGCAATGTAGAATGCGAATCAGCGATGAGAAATACCGAGTTTGTCATGAATTTCTTTTGTTTTTAACGACAATGCAAGGTTGCACTTAATATGCTACACGTCAATTTAGTTGTAGATAATTTAGATAATAAAGCGTGGTACATGTTCCAGGTATTATAACACACAAGCATAATAGGTGCATTTGAATATTTATAAATAAGAAAATATTGTGATCTGGTTGATCATGAGAATTAAAATATATGAGAAATTATCTAGATTTTATACAATTACATCATTTGTAACCTTAACCAGAACGTCTTTACGTTAGTTTCATAATTAAGACCGTTACTTAATTTCAAACCCATACAATTTTTGTCTAATTAACTGGATACGCGGGAATTATTACGACTAATGGGTCATGTCTTCATTAAGTCGAATTTTCCATTAATTAACTAGGACTATTATCGAAATAACAAATAGTTTAGTATTGGGATCCGTCAAATGGGCATACACCATCTGGTGGCAAGATTTATAACTCGAATGAGGGAAAAATTTACATAGGAACTGTGCTGCAATACAACAAAGTTGCAATAATGTGTTTGCAACGTTCTCTTAAATCGGCTTTGCACGTGCAAGTCATTTATATGATATTACGTAAATCACCCAGAATCACCTCACCAATTATATAACGTGAATCGCTTTTTAAATCCGAAGTTTGTAAAAAGTAGGCAGTAAACTTGACGGAATTTAAAGGCTAGCTTCCGGATTTGTTATTTCCGAATTTTATAATGTGATTGGCATTAAAAACACGCTCACCTTCAACGAAATTTCCTTTCCGAGGCTTTGCGTCAGCCCAATCACATATTGTGTCAATACTTATCATTTTATCGTAATTTAAAAACTTGGAAATTGGACGGTACACTATAGGAAGTACTATAAATTTTCCCTAATCGGCGCCATGTTTTTAGGCTCCTCCCATTTGACGGATCCCAATAGTATTTAATAAATAATACAAATAAGGACAAACGTGCAATCTTAGTCACCAATTTTCATTAGGTTCGTTAATCAAATTGGATTCCCGGCTTATCTTTAGTATTTATCCCGAATTCAGTATTCCAAAAAAGGTATATCTTATAGTTTTTTTGGAAAATATGTGGCGTACCGTTCCCCATCACACTTAATTCAAAAAACGATTTCTTTTTTTATTAAATCATTAGAAAACTATTTGTTGTAATTAATTACGTAGTTTAACAACATGCAAATATGTGCATATTTTTATTCAAAATAAGTATAATGAACTACTAAAGATTGGCGCCAGCACACCATCTATTCGCGGTAAGTACACTAATTTATTAATAATTCGTTAATAATTTGTATTTTATTTTAGTATCAAAATTTTATATGCGACAGCTTACTAAAGACCAGTTAGTAAACAGAAAATTGCGAAATTGGAGTATAATTATTTATTTGATTGCCGAGGGGAATTTATACCAGTAATTTATGAGTGTAAACAAGTATAGGATGCCTCTAGGGGCAGCTGGAAATGCCTAATAACGAGCCACCGCGGGCAGTCATCATTAGAACAATGTCAGTGAACGTCATGGACGGTGAACAGTTTCAATTTTTTTGTGCAGTCATCGTCAAATCATTTCAGTGCTGCACTTATTTGCCATGAGATGGTCATGATCGAGTTGACATAATACCTATTGTAGTAATTTTGATTAGCTTTCGTCTACAACGTGGCATGTCAT